CTCAATAAGGATAAAGTGAACCAGTATGAAGACCAACAGTGGCCAGGATTTTGTGCCTCATCAGAAAATAACCACGTACCCCATGAGTGTGCCCTACCAGCACGCACTCAGCCAGCACAGATCCCAAATGGTATCTTATGCTGCGTTCCCGAGAGGCACGGCGCAGAACTGCGACCCCAGAGGGGAGGAGACTGAAGTGATTCCGAGCTGCTTTCCTCAGTGCTGGAAATTAAGGGTAGCAGCCACTGACCCCAACAAACCACCGCTCCGAGTCTCCCCACGCAGCTCTTCACCCCCACCTCAGGCATTCTTTTGTGCAAAGGTTTGCAGAACAGTTTGTGGGAAAATCACCAATGCCTACGTTCCCTCATTTTTTATTCTATAGACTTCTCTTCCAGCCAAAACTGGGGCATTTTAAATATGTTTATATAAGTCTCTCTTTTTTTTTTAACCTGGCCTGAACATGCTGGCGAAGCATCAAAGCGTCTGCCTTCAGATGGGCTACAGTCACACACTGCATCACTACCTGCAGCCGCATGGGTTCACTAATTTTCACTCTTTCAAGTATTAACTACGTCCAATTTTCTGCTTAATTTTATCAGATTTTCAAGTGTGTTTAGAAAGACACCCTACCGCTCTCTCTGAGGTGGTGTATGCACTGCTGCTGCTGTCCATGAATAAGTTCATTTTGCTTCCTTTCCTCCTAGGACTACTCACTGTCACGCTGATTTGTTTTCTCTCTAACATCGAGCAAAAGCACTCGTTATGAATATTCATTTCCACTGCAAAGTTAGGGACAGCAAAAATACCAACAGCCCTTTCATTTTACGCTTCTAGCTCCAATTTTATTTACGTATATTTCATTTGAGAAAGGGTGATCATTTTGACACCTATCACTGTTTATCAAACCTGGAACTGCTTAAGATTTTTCACATCATGTGTACCGAGAGCAGACATTCCTCAGAAATGCTCTGTGCTGATCAGTCGTGATACACCACAAACTCATGTTACAGCCTGATAGTGCTCTCCTAGAGTTTCTGAAACAATTAACAATTAGCTGAATGAAAAGTACTCTGAGAATTAACTTTTGCATGCCATGTTTTGAGCATGAATTTCCTGAATTGTATTTGCTCAGCTCTCCTCTACAGGCACAAAGGCTCTGTGTGCTTGGCTTTTAACTTCAGCACACTGTGCAGCCTTCTGGTCATCTGGGTGCAAACAGTCTGTGCAGACCTTCTCCTATCAGCACCGGTATTAACCTTTACACCTTCTGCTTAACATTATGCTCCGCAAAACAATCCAAACAAGCCACACAATGTCCAAGAATACGACGACTTCATACACATTCATCACCTCCAACATAAGCAAGAGATAACTTTTCTGAGAAGAAATCTAACCTGTTTTTTTCTCATGTCACCTTTAATCACAGAACATTGATCGAGTGACTGTTTAAATGGCAGTCTTCTCACAGTCCAAACAGCAAAGCAAGTGGCTAAATGGTAAATGATCACAAACAAATGGAGCTGGGAACTGTGTTCCTTGGTAAAAGAATGGAGCTTTCCTCATGGGTGAGAAACAGATTTCTGCCCGTAGAAGTAATTCACTAACATTTACTTTAATTGATTACTTATTTTAAAAGAAGTTTGTGCTTCCTCAGCTAAATCACCCCTTGAAAAAGAAAGTCTTGTGCCAGGCGGTGTGAAATCTGCAAGGCTGTGACTCCTGCAAACACTGTGTCCCTCCCTGCAGCCCTCCTGCAGGGCAGCCCGGCGCTGGGCACACGATTTATGGCAGCCAGGAGCAAGGGAAAGACTAAATTTCCACTCCAGCCATCTCTCATGGTTACTGCTTTTTATTGTTTTGACAGGACGCATTAAAAAAATTGCATGTTTCTTCTTTCTACCCTCTATTTTCTTTTATGCTGTCCTTAGTAGGGCCTCCTCTGAGCTAAAATGCACATTATGTAGCACCAAACTGATGGCAAATCTGATCACAGCAGACCTGTGAAGAGTCTCCAATAAAAACACATACCCTTTTACACTGCAAGAGACATTTCATTTAGTTCCTTCTTGATGACATTCAGATCAAGCAGAAATGTGCACCGTTTACAGTTCAGCCCTAAACATCAGCACAGTCCCACCAAACTGAGAGCAAGTCTGTGCTAACCTCAGAACATGCAAATGCGGACAAACGTCTGCCTGATTCCTTACTGTACCCTGGCAGGGTGTAACGAGGTGTGGGACAGTGGCAGGGAGGCTGAGGGCTGAGTGTGGGACCTGAGCAGCAGCACCTGGATGAGCTTTCCCCAGGCGCAGGGAGCAGCAGGAGTAGGCAGACACAGGTACTGCTCTGACAGCTTTGGGCAGTGCTGCAAAGTGTGCACCATTGGCTTCTCCAGGGAGTGACTGATGGCACCCAAATTCAGTTTAATTGATGCCACAGCAAGATAGAGGATTTTCTGTTTAAAGGCAGAAGTCGTTTCTTTTTGTCTACGCAGCAGCCATTCGTAACGGGAGTATTACTGAAAGCCAAGAAAATGAAAGTCTGGCATTGTGCAGTAATTGCACAGCAATAAAGAGACAGCATAAAGTGAAATTCAAGCAGTTTATGCAGATACTGCTGTCTGGCATTCACTCTGGTCTCTCTTTTAACCTTTACTTGAAAATCACAGCGAAGTTTAGTTTAAGAAAAATAAACAATGTAAGTATTGAACACAATTTTTAAAAGAAAAATACTGTATTTTTAGTGTTGTTCACACTTAATATTTTTTCTGTTAAAGCTTTAGAAAGAGCGAATTAGGAATGTACTGCAAGGGAACACTGCTCCTCCAAACACTTAGAAAACTGGGCTCCAGTTTCACTCTCAGTGTTTGCAAGACTAAGACCCTGGAAGCCAAGGGCCTAACATAACACACTTATTCTATAAAATTAGAAGGAAGGCACTCTTGCACAGATGGCAGAAAGCTTCCTCAAAATACAAACTCAACCTCCCTTTACCTCACAATAAATAGATTCACAGTATTTTTAAAGGTAAGTTGTGACAACCTTGCTGATTAGTGCAATTCATGTGGCAGCATTCACTTTTCTCTAGCTCTCTACTGCATACTGAAAGTAAGGCACTTAAATGAGAAAATTAATTCCATTAATTAAAAATGTTCAGTCTCAAGCATACAGAGTGATCTGAGTGAGAATTACAGCTGTATAAATGCACATAAAGCAAAGTGTTTGCTATCATATGTATTCCCCTTTAGGACGGGTACGTTTTGCAGCACCAACCAATGATAATTTTATTTTAACAGCAGCCTAAAATCGGAGAGACATAGAAAGGTTTATTTATCTCTTAAAGAGAAAACCACTTGATGTATGTAGAAAAATGCACAGAACACCACTCTTCACACAAATCCTTTGCTTGGAGAGCCTGAGTGAAAACTCTGCTCCAAGTCAGGAAAGAAAATCATTAAACTTAGCTGAATCCATAAAGCACCATAGCTGGAGCTTCAATACAGATCATTGTGTACTAAAATTAAAATAGAAGCCCTTTTTAATTATATAAAGTGTGCACGTTATTACTGAAGAGAGGAATACAAGCTTTCCTCAAGAACCATAAAATTGGCTGCTGGGAATTAAACTTCAGCTGCGATTATTATATGTTCCTATAAAGGATATTGAACGGCTGATAAAACTGCGCCCTTGTCATGTAACAGTGATGCTTAACGCCAAACAACCACTGCAGCATTCCAGCCATAGCTTTCTCAGAACATCACAGCTCCCTTCTCACACTGAAAAGAAAACACTGCAGGATTTCGGAGCAAAACCTCTACCTAAATATCTGAAATACCAAACGGACAGGTCTGAAGATATATAAGCCACACAGAGGCAAAACAGCATGTGTGATAAATTAATGCTGATGTCTTCTGTACAGGAAAGCCCTCCACAAAGACATGCCCAGTGTGGAAGGCTATCTGTGCTGCGCCATGAGTGCCTCGCTCAGCTCCACCGCGTCGTGACCATTACAGTGCTGTACATTCCTAATCTTGTTCTATTATTTGTTGTAAATACTGAGTACTGGCTGTGCTTCCACACAGCTACAGGAGACTGGTCAGACTTCTCCAGAATCTGGAATGTGCTTCTGACGGCACTGGCATGCTCTGAGACCCAAGGATGTAACGTGGAACTAAGACCTGCAGATATTTCTAATCCCACAGACTCCAGCGCACCCACAACTTAGCCAGGCCAAAATGTTTACATGGAGTCTGAATATCAAAGAAATACTTCTCTGACATTTAACATAAGGCATGTGTAGGGGAAGGCTGGACAAAGGGCTGTGACTGTGTACAATGTGGTGCAAATTTTGCTCTTGCAAAGGGAGGAGAACGTCCCTTTTCTGTAAGGCCATCTCCCATCACAGCATAGGAGGTATGTCCTTCCTACTCCACCAGGCTTTAGCCTGACTCTGCTATTCCAATCCCAGCACCTGTAGTGATACAAGGCTTCAGAAAAATCCTTTGCACAAGAGCATCTGAAGGCTCCCATGGAATTCTGGTATGAAAAATACCCAAAGCACCAGACACCAGATTGCCTTCCCAAATTATAGCAGGGAACAAACACTTTGGGCCGGGCTGGGATAGAGAGGCAGGGGCAGTCATGGTCTGGGACAAGCATTGTAAGCTCTGGAAGTACACACATTGCCTCTTGATGGATTTTTGAAATATATTTTTTTTAACTGTGAAGCCTAATAAATGAATTGTTCAGAATCACACAATATTTTAATAATAAAAATTGACTCATACAAACATTCAGAAGTCAAATCAATGAACAGTTTCAAGAGAAGCCATGAAATGAGCCTTACTTAGTTCCTTCCATTAGAAAGAATGCTGGAGCATTTGGTTTCAGAATCAAAATGTAACTCATGTTTCACTTAGCAAAGGGAGAACAAACAGCCAGCAGCATTCACACCAAATACACCATAAGATTTTCAGAATAAGGAATTCCTTTTCTTACCTGGGACATCAATTAATCTCTTATAAACATTCAAGAAGGCTGCCTCTGCTTCTTTGCTTCTTTTACCCAATGCGTCAATCTGAGGGGGTGAGGAGAAAGAAGGTGTTAGACTCGGTCCAATACAGAGCTATAAGAATAAACGAAAACATAATACATAAAGAGGGAACTTAATCTCCTGTGTACAGCTCCTGTAGCCTTTTAAGAGTATTTCTGCTATGTCTGTACTGAATGTAATTTGAAGTCCTGCTCCAGCACAACAGCAATCGATATCTTTAAGAACACTGCTGCCTGCTGTGATTCTTCACTTTAAATCTTAATACAAAAAAAGCAAGCCAGGCGCTGACTGGACAGGCGTCCTCCTCAGTAACTTTCTTTTACTGCTAATTAAGATGTAACACAACAAATGGGATCTGTGTGCACTTCTGATGTCATGCTCTGCTTTCATTGCAGGAAGCATATTTTCCTATTATTTCCACCAAGCCTGTGAGAAGATGAAAAGATGCACTTTTGGGCACCCTCTGCTACTGAACACTAAACAGCTCTGAATCTTTTCCATGCAAAGACCCAAGGAGACCGAGCTGCCCTGCGCTGCGGAGCTGAAGGCAGGCTGCTCTGGCTTCACCTCTGTTCTTACTTTGTGTTAATTCATGCAGTGCTCATTTAGGAAGCTGCCTGCTCAGGTAAGGAAGAATAACTACCTCCCACCATTATTTTCTCTAAACTTGTATTTTCCTCCAAAACTTCACTGTGGAAGGAAGGGCAGCTTTATAGCTCTGACAATAAAGTATTCATTCCATAGCAACTTTTGGGTTTTTTTCTGCAAACTTTTTCTTAATGTACTGGAAAATGGAGGATTTACAATTACTAAATATTGACAGAAACTACCCAAACCAACACCAGTTCCACTGGATTGCTGCTCCAAAGCAGAGACAGAAAGGGAAGCAGAAAGCCTGGCAGCACTTTCCAGCAGCTTACTCAAATCAGGAAACTAAAAGCACGGAGATTATCGTTCCCATATTTTAATAAAAAGCAAGGAAGGATCTGAAGAATTACAGATACAAAGGCCTGATACTAATTCTCCTGCATATTTGAAAAACAGCTAATATTATGAAGCCATTTAAAGGTGCGTACGTCAACATGTACTAAAAAAGGAAGGTCTTGTCTGAAAAACGTCCTTGAATTCTTTAACCACTTATTGATTTGACAGATAAGGCAGAAACAATGGACAGAGTTTACTGTCTCTGTGTTTCAGGAAAGTGTTTTATTGTGGTATTTTGCTGTGCGTGCTGCCAGCCTGACGCGCCGCCGGGAAGCAGAGGTGCCAGGAGAGGAGACACGGCACAGAGCTGCCGTCCTCGGTGCCACGGCTGTGCTGTGAGAATGGAGTGGGCAGGGGAAGAGGCTGGGGGGTGGTTAGAGTAATGGAGGCAGGGAGCACGGGGGCAGAGCGCGGGACCTGCACGTGACTGCTGTAGATTAGTCTTACGGCTGAGAGTGACCTGCAGGGATCACTGCAGAGAGGATTAAGGGCAGAAAACTGAACTGTCAGGACAACTGTGGAAATTGCATGGGAGTGCGAGGTATAAAGCCCTCAAGGACTGCCTGTGCTTCCAGAGCTCACCAAGAAGGGCTGTGGGAGGCACCAGAACCGCTGAGGGCAGCCGATGTGACGTGCCAGAAAGCAAGGGATTGGTGCTGGTGAATAACCCATTTATTAATTTCAATCCAAGCAATCACAGATGGACCGATGCTCATTAGGGAATGAGAACATAAGCAACTCAGAACATTCTTCACATGCAGAGTATTTGAAATGAGAATATGGAACCAAGTGCCAACGCTGGAAAAGCACCGGGTAGCACAAATCTGTGCCTGAGAATCAGATGGGAGAGGGGGGGCAGCCACCAGAAAGGCTTCGGAGATATTTGCTGGGTGCACAAAGACAGACTTTGAAGGCCAGAGCACCATATGTCAGACTTCAGGACCTCTGCGTTCCCACATACGATTTTCTCTCGCTGCTGCTCAGCACAGTGCAGCCAAATTTAAATGACTATTATTAAATACAATTAGCATTGCAGAACGGATTCTGTACTGTATTCTGAAAAACTCATTTTCCCTGTCTAGGAAAAGCAAAGCATTTAGAGTAAATGCACTTCCATTCCTACGAAATAACCGAATGGGTCTGTTTTCCTATTACAGCTTCTTACATTTTAATAAAGGGCATTTGTACTTAAGTTCTCCTTAAATATTACATATAGTTTATTCAATCCTCACCAGTTACACCGTGACTGAAGTATAAAGCAGAACTGAAACAACATATTCCGAGGAGATCAGAGACTTTCTGACGGAAGCAGTTTGTAAATCACAGGAACTTTCACACCTTTTCTTTTTTCCTCCCAAAATTCAGAACCAGAGCTCCAAACAATCCCACCAGGCAGAAAGCTTTCTTTCTTTTTTTTTTTTTTTTTTAAGTAGTTAAAAATCAGTGAAGCTGCCTGGTTTAAAGTTCTATTAAAAATGAGCTCTGCAACTACTTGATATCTTCAAGAAAGCACTATGACAACTTTAACTAGAATAACAAATGAATTACATATGTCAGCTTCCAGCTGCGTAAGGAGATATGGGACGAGAAGGTCATCAAAATAGCAAGATATAAATAAAGTCCAGTGACAAAGGAAACAGAGCACTGAAATGACATGGAAATAAGCGTTTGGAAGCTCACTGAAACCTTTTCAAATCTGAGTAAAATTAGTTCGGGAGCCAACAGAGATCACACTCCAACAGTTAAAGTACATTAGAAAACTCTTGCTGAACACTTTTATTTGACTCTGAAAACTTGAGGGACCCAGAAAGAAGTCAACTTATAATTACACCAGTGCAATCTTGACACGAGCTGAGCTCCACATCTTAATTTATCTGAACCAGGCCCCATTATGTCTTCTGTGACTAGAAAGAAACAACAGTGACCTCTGTATTCCCTACCACCCCCATAAACATATGTTCACTTTTAAGTTCTGGCATACTATTTGTCTTGATAATACCACTGGAGCTACATGGAGATAACAGAAATGAGACGCGAGGAATCCTCCCTCCTTCACACACCCTTCATCTTCACAACCTCCCCGGGGCCATGTGGGGAGGAACGCAGTGAGACGCCACGTTGGGCACAGCCTTCCCTCCACCAACAGTTTTTCCAGGTCAAGTGCTGTCAGGAGTCGCTGCTCAGGCACCGAGCTGCTCCCAAAGCTGCAGGACGCCTCGGTGATCTGTGTGAAGCACAAAGAGCTGCACGCCCATATCGAGCCTCAAACACAACACCATGCCAAACAGCAATGCTGTAGGCCCAGCTCTTATCATCGCTGCTCTTCAGTTGCAATTCTCACTCTCATTAACAACCTTAATATAAAAGATACCAACTTTTACTGTCCTGCTCTCAGTCTGGAACCAAAGCAGCAAGTAAGAATAACCAACTTAAACTAAAATTTATATTGCTGCTGTAATTTTAATCTAAATAGGGGCCTTTACTCACTGAATCACAAAGATATGAACCATCAGCCCATCGCTCCCCTACGCAGCCCTCATATTGTTTTGCATTACAAAGTTTCTTCATTTGACTTCAGTTTTTCTGAGCTACTGAAGTGCCATTAAGAATTGCAAGAAACATTAAACAAAGGGAAAAGCATGACAATAACTTATTAATGTAAACTTACTTTTGCATCGGAATCAAACAGGGGTTATAGCAAGTACTCCTGGCACTACACAACAGCACCATTCTTTCTTTTAAGCCATTGGAATAGAGCTCACCTCTCTCACGTAAGAGAGCATCAGTCACTGTGGTGGTAATGGGAGCAGCCCTACAACCTGCTCTGTGCATGCATTAAGAAGCAAACAGTGTCTGTGTGCGGTTGGCCTGATTTGCCATTCTTAATACCAACAGGTGCCTATGTGGAGAATTAGTGAACATACAGAACTCATGAGGACAACTGGAGGTTTTGCAGCTGACAGAAGTAAAATTAAAAATGCTGATTTGTTTTTCTCTTTGCTACACTTAGAATATTTTTGAAGCAAAATTAAAAGAAATGATTCCTGTGGAGCTGCTTAAAGCATATGGTGTGTATTTTAGCTGTGCTATAAATTCTTTAACCAAAGTGAGGCCTGCTCAGTGGTACAGCTCCCATCCCAGCTGTCTGGGTGCTGCACAGGTAGGCTGCCTCGGATGGGCATGGTGGGATCATGCAGACTTCTCAGCTCCTTGCTTTAACCTCACATTAACGAGGGGGCTTCAAGAGTGACTCAGATCCCTCGGCTTTTCAGTTCTGCTCCTGCAAAACAGCTGCAACCTTGAACCCTTGAAACCTTTTCTTCTTTCGTGCCCAGATAGATCCTGCTCTTCCCAGACAAACAACGCTGCCGGCCCTGGAGGAAAGCTCAGCTCCCTCCTGCCCGGACAGCTGCTTGTTGCTCTCTAGCCTTTGATCTGCCTTCTCAGTAAACCAACCCAGCCCAATGTGTGCCTCCAGATATTGACAGCTGAATGACAGCTCAGTTTAAGCAGCTCTTCCTATCTGCCACCCTGCCTTCAGATTCCTGCAGCGGTGGATCTGTGATTACTGCTCAACCTCCCCTGCATCCTTCCACAACCTGCATGCCTTCCTCCACGCTTCTCTCTGCATTTCTGAGCAGCGTTTCTCAGTTTACGCTCTCACTCTGCTCCTCACCCATCCCAGGGCAGGCACAAAGGGAGCAGCCCGGCTCCCTCCTGCCTCGGGCCACCGGCTCCTCCTGCATCAGACCCAGCAATCGCAGCAGCGCCGGAGCGTGATTCAGCTCACTGACTCAATGGAAAACTAAGCAACGGAGGAGAGAAAATTTATTTTCCATCGTGTTGGCGAACTGAACTGACTCATCTCATACATTTGCTAGACTCAGCATAAGGGAGGAGGTGGGTAATGGGGCTGGGGCAAGGACATTGCCAGCGGCAGTCCTGTGTTGGCATGGGCTGGGAATGGCGTGAAACCTGTGTCAAGGTGTGGGTGGCAAATTGGGGTCAAAGTGCTAAAAAAAGTAAAAAATATCAGGAAG